GGTTCTAATGTTCTTGTTAAACCTTCCTTTGTAAGCCTTCTTTAAGCAAACAACCTAGAATATTCTGGTTGTGAAAACTAGTGAATACCCTCTGTTTGACACAGAGTGACCCCCTTTTGAAAAACTCCTGGCTATGTCCCTGATAAGCCATGGTGACTGAGAATTGTATATGTTAAATATATGTTAATTGGTGTGTGTGTAGACTTCATGATAATGATTCCAATCTGCTTAAGAAGAGGTATTTTTATTAACTCTTCTCCCAGAATTGATTAACATGTAACTTCTCCCTTTGATATACACGCATTATTCACAAAATGGGTAATGAGAATACTCAAAATTATCACATAAAAGTTATTAATGCAATCTAATGCCAAATTTTGTTGCTAATTTATAAGAAATGTGTAACAGCTTAAGAGAGGAGAATTAACAATCAGTTCTTGAGAGATAAAGGATTAAAGCAGGTAATTTAGTGTTAACAACTGAGTTGAAAATGTAAATTAGCCACGGTAAAGGGTAAAAAAACTGACGTTTCAAGCGTCAGCCCTTCATCAGGGCAATTGACAAAGGGCTAACGCTCAAAACGTCAGTTTTTTTAGCCTTTACGGTGGCTAATTTACGTTTTCAACTCAGTTGTTAAAACTAAATTAGTTGCCATACTCTCCCACCGATGCAGCACTACAGTTTCTTTAGAAACTTACCCCTTTATTTAAAGGGTTAAAGCCTACGCACATGAGGCAGTGAACTGTAAAGGAAAAAGCACAACATTTAAGAATCCCTGTTGTATGTTGTGTTGAGGTCTAAGCAAGAATTAAATCTAATTTCATTTTGTGACTAAACATATTATCTACCTCTGTTTACAGAAGCCATGTCAACTTCGGACTGTTTTCACCGGAACAAATGCACCAATATGCACATATTCATTGTGTCAGCAAAAACCTGTACAATCAGGATCAAAGCCGTACCCCTGTCCCTTTTGGGGTGCTAGATTCACACATGGTAACAAAACAGTTGCCTTTTTCACTGTTGTCTGTTTACCACCTTTTTTAAATAATTAGCTGAATTATATATTGGGTACTTTGATTGTTTTCTACTTGTGATCTGTTGGAGCACAGATGCATTGGTGAGGTCACCATAAAAAAACTTTTGTATCTTTTATTAAATGAAACAAATAGGTTCCATTTTGCTGTGCATATTTTCAGCAATAGGTTGCAGAAGGTCTCAAAATGTAACAAGAATATCAATGACATGCTGCTGCACCTTGGGTGCCACTTCTTTTCTCTTAACACAATTTGATGTCATCTTTGATTTATTGATGACTGAATAGTTGTACAGCAATATGGAATCTATTGGTTGAGAAAATAATTGAGTGTGTCCTTTCAAAGACAATATTTCATGGGAGATTAAATGAAGTTAATTTATTTGATATTGTGTGTAATGATAGGGCACAAGCACTAAAGATCGGAGCTGTGAGACATGTGGCAAACCATTGGCTGATTGTGTAGGTCACTATGGTTACCTTGATCTGGAACTTCCAATCTTTCATGTTGGATTCTTTAGGTCAACAATTGTCATTTTGCAAAGCATTTGTAAGGTAAGTCTTTTTGGATGTGGGATAGTGAGATTTTTATATGCAGAGATATAGCAAATAAAGAGCTGGAGAATCAATCCCATTTACCCTATACAATGTCATGTAATTTTAGGGGAGGGTTAGTGTGCTGAACTTTGTGTCAACAGGAAGGAGACTGGCCTCACTGGGGCCATTGTGCTGTGTTCTTGGGCAAGCTAATTAACTTTGATCATGCCACTGTCTGCTAAGGAGAACAAATGGGTACCAATGATGGTCTGGGGAACCTTATGAAATACTTGGGGCTGGCTGTTTTAGACTAGCATTTCATCTAGGGGCTCAGGGAGAACAATACTCTTAATGACTTTGTGCAAAGTAAGGTTTATTATTATTATGGGTCCTTACATCTGTAAGACGTTTTTTTTAAGCTATAAGTCACTGCTTCATGGTAAATAGTTTTTCCTTTCACTTAGACATGTGCCAGAGTACTGTTACCACCTCAAGAAAAGAAACAATTTCTTGATCAACTAAGCAGATCAGGTGTCTCATCTTTAATGAGGAAGAGCTTAAAGAAAAAGATTGTGGAAAAGTGCAAAAAGATTTCTCATTGTCCATACTGTGAGACATTAAATGGTAACTCACTGTTGGATATCTTTATACAAATCCTTTTAACTAAACTGTGTCTGTTTGTGCACCAGGGGTATTTCTGGCCACGACCAGATGAAAGAAAGTTGTCTTCCTTTCGGCAAGAGGCTTTTAAATGACTAGTCTTCACTGTTCTTTTTCTATTCTTTCATCCTTGTTATTGAATGATATTTTTTGTGTGAAAGCATATCTCAGTGTAGCTATGCTGTGCATGTG